TGTTAATACCATAAATATACAAAACTGAAACTATTTCACATGCGACAAAAGCCAGACAGTGCATCACTTTTTTTTCTTTTTACATGTGATTGATGAGGATCAAACTTTAYAAAATATACAGGTGTCCCTTTTCCTCTTCATTCCTGTCCAATAACACTATCACAGGTCAAAAAAACACAGTTTTCTGTCAGCAGACTTCAAAACACATTGTTCTGTACTTTAAATCAGCTCACCAAAATACACCAAGAAAACTACCCACTGTGGCAAAAAGGCTTCAGATAATGGTTTCAAAGTAAGGATGCATGGAAATCATGAGGGTGAGCGCAGCAAAGTGTCGTAATAAGTTAAGGTAAAACAGATGGGAAAGCGTCACAAAGCAAGGTTTGAAAACAAATTTATATGGACATTTGGTAGACTTCTCACAGCTTTTCAGAACATTTTAACAATTCAGGGTTTTTTCTTATAACTGTTCACACACACACACACCTTCCTACAACAAGCTCACGTTGCAGGGCTAAGCTGCAAAGCCACTGAACACTTTTTGCAGCCCAGCACACAAACCAAAATAAAACATTATTAAAAAAAATCAACACAAAGACAAATGCAAATAACTTAATACCATAAATAAAAACGTTTTGCGCCGACTTTACAGTAAAACGAGAAATGTGCAATGAGTTCAAAGTCAAATCGAGACAAATGCAATACTACCATGGCAATAAGAGACTTATTAATTAATGAGACCTTTAAGTTTTTTTTTTTGAGTAATTACAGCAGCCATCATTCATGTCATTCACATCTTCAGGCGTTCACTAACAAAAAAATAGTAAATCGCACATCCACATTTTACTTCAGTGACAGCAGTTTGTACAAYGTTAGTGTTTGTCAATGAATGCATCGTAGTGATCAAACTCAATGAGCATCAAGTTGAATCCCTGTATCGTTCATGTTCATTTTGGCTACAAGTTTTCTGTTACCAGTAATCCAGCAGAGGAATACTGACAGAGGAACACGAGTGGAAATGGGACTGTTAGCATACGTGGTTAACATTTACACAGCATCGTAAGGACTCGAGACAAATTCAATCACTGTCTGGGTCATCTCGTGTGAGAAAAGGCAGCTCAGTTCTCCGTTTGTATGAAGTGTGCCTTTGTTTTTAATGTTTTTATACATGAAACGTGATAAAAGGAGGCCACAATCAGGCAGCTCTCAGATTAATAGCAGCGTTAGTTTTTCAACACGGGTGATTGGCTACAAACAAAACTGGGTGAGAGCCACAAACTTGAGTATTGTGCGAATGCTAAACATATAAAGAAATGGAGACATTTTTTCAGAACTTGTGTTTGAATGCACCAGGTCATTTCAATCGAGACCAACCTCATCAGTCAGGACATGCGATCACTTCGCAGTTCGCACCAAAGATTTTTGGGGAAAATAAGGCAAAAGTTCCCCCAAACMTGCCTTTGTAAGCCTGATAAACGGCAGTGGAGAGAATAATGGTGTCCATGTTTTTCCTCTATTTTTTTTAGCTTGAGTGTGCTAAACATGCTTATTACTATCATGCTGAACCAGCCCAACTGAAGAAGCACACAGAAGATATTCAACTGAGATCTGGGGCAGGTTCTTAAATAAGAACATACATATTCCTATTTATAGGAAACCATTTCTTTTTTTATCATGAGAATTATACTGTCTTGCTACAAAAGCACAGATACTGGTTAAGGTATAGTGTACCTTCCATGTCCAATGTTTACTAAAATAAATAAGTAGCTCAGAGTCACTTTTTTTAGGTGAAGCGCACATTCACACAGATTCAGCCATTAAAAAAAGAAAAAAAAAAAGAAGAAAAAAAACAGAACTATGCGAACACCACCATAATCAGATTATAACTTCTCATGAGTCTACACTGAAGCTGTTCGGAGGTCATCACCATGAAAAAAACACAAGGTACGCTAGAACCCCTGCCTGATCTGGGAGCCTGCCTCGAGGGGAACTGAAGGGCAAGAGAAGCAAAGGTAAGTGTGTGAGACGAAACCCTCCCACACAGAACACACCTCCATTCACTTAGTGGACGTGAGCAGGCGGTCACCTCTGACTGTAAAGCAGATTGTGTGCATGTTGTAGTGTCTTTACGAGTGTTTCAGTTTGGATGAAGACACACAACTCTGGGCCCTCGTCTGTTATTTTCCTTCATACTTTAGAAAGAGAAATGTGCAGATGAAACATTCATAAAGGTGATCGGTTTGATCGGAGAGCCTGCAGGACCAGAGTTGTGTGTCTCCATCGTGTGTAGAAGCTTGGATGTGTCTTGTTGGGAGTTTATGTTTATGGCTGAGCTTTGAAGGCCCCACGAGCAGCGTTGGATGCAGCGTTCGCGGCTGCATTGGCAGCTGCGGTTTGAACGGTCTTGTTAGACATGACTCCGGTCGCGAACTCCTGCTGAGCCTTCTCGAAGCTAGCACCAGTGGTACGGTACAGCGCGTGCACCTGAAAGCAAATAGGACAAAGAGMAAAATTATGCATAGGTCATACAAAGCTGTTAGCGCAGACATTTCACTTCCTTATTTTAAACAAAATGTTCGTTTTGTTGTTTGTTCYCTGACACACATGCCTGCCAGGCTTCCTACATTTTAAAGCAAGTAAAATTTAATTAATGCCAAGTGAAATTAAATTTAAGACCAATTTCATAATAAACACAAATGACAAAAATAAAAAATAAAAACTGGCAGAAACTCATGAATCAAAGTATTTTTGATGATGATGTTGAGATCTGTAGAGTCAGTGAAGTGAAGTTTCTAGGTGTCATTATTGATGAAAAACTGACATGGAAAAATCATATAAATGGTTTAAAAACAAAAACAGCCAAATCTATTGCAGTMCTGCACAAAGTAAGAGAACTGTTCAATGATAAAGCACTATTTATGTTGTATAACGCTATAATTGTTCCACATTTAATTTACTGTATTGAAGTATGGGGTAAAGCTTGTAAAACTATCACAAATCCTATTTTTATTTTACAGAAAAGAGCTATAAGAATTATTACTAGAAAAAAATTACAGCTTTCCATCTAACTATAGATTCTATAGTAGATAGTAGTGGATATAGCAGAAACGTTCTTAGCAGTCAGTTTTAAACTTATTTTAACTTCAGGAAATACTCTAACAACCCAAAATTTGAAGTTTTAGGACCCACAGTGGGGTCTTAACCCCAATTTTCTGTAGATGAAACCTTAAAGTGCCTGTGACATCAAGTTTTTGTAAGAAAAGTGAATGCATTTTTGGAAAGACAACATTAACATTTTACAAAACAAATTTCACATTGCTCAGATGAACAGTTGAGATATTTGCATGTGAAATAACAGGAAGTGATGTCAAAGGAGAATATCTGCATGTGAATATTTAAAAAAAAAATTTCCAATTATTTTAATAGTCGAGATGAGTTACAATCATCCTATTTACAATGTGTTAACATTTTTAAGACTTCTGAAAGATTGATTTAAGACATTTTAAGGTTAATTAAGGCCTTATTTTTGGATTGATGAATTCAAGGCCTTTTAAGACTTTGCAAGGATCTGCAGGAACTCTGACCTGCTCTTAAATATTCTAACTGTTCTGTGCATTGCAGATTGGAATGAAGTGTGTGTGTGTGTGTGTGTTACCTTTTTGAACATAATGAGCGAACTCACAGACAGAGCAGTGAACAGAGCTGCAATCAGCAGCATGATAATGCCCACTGGGATGCTTGTGTTCAGACCAGTTAGAGCTGCAATCCAGCCACTGGCAAAACAACACAAAACCAAGGCAGCATGAGCAAACTCCACAACAGGCTCACCGTGGGAGAAATTCAGTAAAAGCACAAAATACCCACCATGTCCCCCAGCCAGTGATTCCAATCGTTTGAAGGACGTGAACCCCGAACTGACAAATGTAGACGAAGAAGAAGACAAAGAAGCGGAATGAGCTGTCACTCCTGCAGCAAAGAGAAGAGGAGAATCTGGAGAAAAGCTATGAAATAAATGTCCTATTAAATATTAAGGCATTTTTGYTTCCACTAGATTGATAAAATCCATTTTTATGCCTCTTTAATGTTCCCAGACAGGAAAAACACTCGCTAACCGGCCTGTTTTATTTAAACTTGTTTTATAAGTAGCTTCATCCCTTGATTGCCCTCTAAGTATGCATCACTTCCTACGTTTCTGCTTACCTGAAAGCCCCGTAAAGTGGTCTGTACCAGCAGACGAACGAACACGGGGTGAACAGCAGAAACCAGAGCATGGCGAGGCCAAAATCTACACCACGAGACGCATCCACAATGAACCACGCCAGGCAGCCAAACATGTTCACAAAGAGTGTGCCTGCATGGACTGGTACACAAAGGATAAAAAAAAGTCCAATCGACATAAATGTTAATAAATATGTCATACAATATATATAAAATAAATTAAATACAATATTATATGGATTTTCCTTCATGAATAAGTCTAATTTCTGTTGAGTCCGATGGTTCACTCACACATCCAAAGGTTGTACATAATCTTCACGGTCTTCTGGAACTCTATAGGAATGTCCACAGCAATATCGTGATAAAAACACGGGCCAACTGGAAACTTCTCTGGTAAAGGAGGCCAGTTGTTTTTACGTCCTGCATGAACAAATCAAGCAGGAAAATGTGTTAAATTTTTTATTTTGAGCTTATGTTTCACGAAGCTCATCAATGAGAGGTAACTGTGAAAAAATGGAATAATATAAATCAAAAACCTTTAAAACTCTATGTTTATTAGTGTTAACATCAAATGGTGAGATTACTATACAGAATAAAGCTCACAATGAGCAGAGGTTAGACAAAGTTGTGAAAGAACTGAAGAATGTTTCAATTGATCAAGAATCTGTATTGTCATTGTGCCTGTTTGAGACTTTTCATTTTATTCTAAAACTCTGGGAGGACTCAAACCTTAAAGTTTTTTTTATACACATGAAACGTGACAACTTACAGTGTTTTTACTAGGGCAGGGGTTTGCAACCTTCACGATCAAAAGAGCCATTTAAGCTACTTGACGCACTAATAAAATGTGTTCAGAGCCACAAAGCAAGCTACAACTGCAATTATCAACTGGTGGTCCATGGGCCTTTTTGAGGCCTTTTCTAGAACCTTTACAGTCAGTGGAGGTGACATTATAAAACAAATAAATATATTGTGAAATTTATTATTTAATATTGTTTTTACACATCAGGACAAATGAAAAGACCAGATTCATGTAAACAAGAAAATACTGTATATTGTTTGTACCAAACTTCATAAAAACTAGTACAACTGAACTATTCAGGCATTTTTTTTACTAACTCCTCTTATTATATAGTTTTTGAATTCTTTAAAGGTAATTCTGATGGATATGAGAAAAAGATCATAGAAAGAAGTTTGATTTTTTAAGTAAACAACAGGTTAGCATGAGCTAATCAACAGGTTTTACTTTTTGTATTAGTAGTATTGATCACATATTTGCATACAAATTGATTTCTTTTGCAGGTATWAAAACAAACAAAAAACAAAAACAAAAAAAGATTATTTTATGTTTTCAAAGAGTCGCTGCAGAGGGACCAAAAAGCCATATGTGGCCCCAGAGCCGCAGGTTGCAGACCCCTGTACTGGGGGTGTAACAATACATCGATATATATTGATTTGAATGGTTCATGATTCAGTTATATCAAGGCTAAATAAAAATATCGATCTATATCGTCATCATATACTCAATGCGAATTGATATACAGTATTATGCCCATCTAACACAGTCATTGTGTTAGATGGGCTTAAGATATTGCATTACATCGATCACAGACATGTGAATTGAATTGAATCGAAATCGTACCGTGACAGATTTTGTGATATCGAGAAACATCAAATCGCCATCCAAACATATTGACGTAATATTGTACCGTGATGAAGCTGGTGAATTTACAGTCCTAGTTTTTACTAGTCTAGTTGATGAGTGACTGACCTCCTGCCACTCCGTGGGACTGTAACTCTCTTTCCCGACGATCAAGCTCTGCAGCTTTCTTCTCCAACTCCTCCTGCCTTCTCAACAACTCAGCCTGAGCACGTGCCTGGTCCTGAGATGAGATACAAAAATATGCTAAAAACAAATGAACCACTTGCAGTGTGGATAAGGCTGAACGTGTTACTTTGGGAAACTGAGGTAGATATTTAAAACTGTACATATAATTATTGGTCAAACATTTACAGTCCAGACTGTTTAGGAAACATTATGCCTAGTGTAGACAAAGAGCAGCTACATATAGTTGTGACTAATTTATGATCTGATATGACCTGAGTCTGGTGCTGTGAGTAAGCTGGAGGCTCTTCTGTTGGCTTCATGATGGCAGGCTGTGTGTTCTGGGAAGGTGCAGGAGCCGGTTTGGGGGCATTTCCCGGTGCTGCCTGCAAACCAGCATAAATTGTCTACATTAATATTTATGAAACCAAATGACAGACATCGATTGAAACCTGCAATTAGGCCACAGATGTATTTTGTAAGCTAAATCCTCTGACTGGAAAATGTAGGAGAGAAAAAGGAGAGCGGACAAAATGAGGCCACTCAGAATCAGAAGCACACAACTATCACTGACCGTTCTGGCATCTGTGAACGGGTTATACTCCTCCAGACCACCAGGAGGTGCAGACTGTGTCACCTGGGTCACTGAAGGATCCTACAGAGGAAAAAGGTTCAAACAGGAGTTAAAGCTWCAAGCACAAAATCAAGAACTTTTCAAAAATTGTATTTAAGTAACTTAGTTTAGTTTGTATACAAGATATTGCAACTACTGTATTAATCCCTTTGTTATAACAATTATTATTGATGTGCTTTCACCACTATGAGGTGGGACAGCAAGCAAAATTCACATGCAACACTTCAACTAGATCACCATCTCTGAAATTAAGTTTTGGATCTGGAGGTTGTTGTTTGGGAGATTGTATTTTGTCCTGTTCACCTACATGACCACAAGTTAAATTGTAAATCAGTTGTTGGTAATAGTTTATTTTTATTGATGAAACACAACGTAAGGTATAGACAAGAGGAACTAGAAAAGGTCTTGACATGTATGTAAACATGTGCCATAAGAATAAAAACTGTGCAGATTTTTACTCCTAACAATCCCTTATCAACAGATGAGCACATATTTGTGTAAATGCGAGAGTATAGTTGAATCATCTACTGTGTATTTCTGCTGAGCAGACAACAGAATTTTTGCAGTACATACATTTACCAGACACAATACAATCAAAAATATTTTTAAATACTCAAAATAGTTGTTTGTGTCCTACTACTCTCTGACACTCTTTGTCTATACTCTTGTTTACCCATCTTCTTGTGTATTGAAATCATTCAAAAGTAGCAGCAAATTACACATTTTTCTGCAGTGATGTTTGAATCAAAGCCTGACTTTTGTATCCAAGCAAATTTGGCATATATAACTAATATAACACCTAAATAAAGCAAGAAAATGAAACCCATATTTTAATAAAGCAGCAGCGTTTAGCAAATGTTTACAGTCAGCTAACAAATAGCTAATATAGCTTACAGCATTGAAAACAGACGTAACAAGACAAAAATATGCGACCTAACAAACTGTTTGTTAATTTTATTATATTAGCAGTCACGTTAAATGTCTGACGTGGTAAACATGTCATTCTGGCATTAAAGAAACACCTCTGGATGGCTGTCAAGCTGTTAGCTAAGGCACTTAGCTTTGATGCTAAAGTAGCCAAGTTAGCTACCTGAAAAGGATTGCTGAAATCCGGGTCAGCGAACGGATTGCTGTCAAAATCGGACATGATATCGCCTCTCTAATTGCAGTTTCCCTTGTGTAAAGACTGTCCAATTTTACAAGGAAGCTTCAGCGTTTTGATTTGACTGCCTCTTTTTGTTGTCTGCAGCCTTCTACGCCTCCTGCTGACGGAGACCTCTAGCTTAGCCCGTTAGCCAGTAGCTTGAAAATGGCAGTAGGCTAGCGGATGGTGGTAAACAACGTCACAGACAGCATCACTTCTGGACAGGTAAACTCTGTAATTTATTACACAAAAACACTCCTATTTTTCCTGTTCTTTTAAATATACCAATAATAAGTTTCTTCCATGTCAACATGACACTCTTGTTAGAATAATATTAAAGTAATCTAAAACATACTTACTCAAACAGCWAGTTCCCAWCTRWGGCARGCCGTTGTAACATATAATCAAATCGTGCCTAACTCAGTTTTTAGATATAAATATCTACATTTATTTCCAATTAGGACGGGACTGGTCCTCCATAATGTCAAAACCGTGTTTACTGAACATATTTATWTATTCCATACATTATTTGATTCTCTCCTGGATTCCACATGAAAAATAATTAATTTAAAATATAAAATTATGATGAAAACTATATTATTTCCCCCCATTTTAGCTCCACTCTAACATATCACTTCAATATTGTTGTATTTGTTTAGCTGGTTTAAGATCTTAGTCTGAGATCTATATCAGACAAAAAGTCTACAATTTAAATAGTTTAAAAGGGGGATGTTTGGAAATGTTATTGCTTAGTAAGATTTGGAATTAGACCTAAAAAAATAATAAAGAAAGCRAGAAAATATTTTCCCAGTATGAATTTCTGACTGAGTTCTTTTAGTTAACTGGGATTAAAAATCACACCAATCTTCACTACTTTACAATCAAGATGATTGTGTTGATGACTGTATTATAATGATGGTGTATGAAGATATCAGCCACCTCCTCAATTCCTACATTTAATGAACTGGAGGAGCAATTTAGATTGTCTTAAAACACACAAAGTAACTATTTTCTATGTAATAATCAGATATTGTAAATTACCTTACCTTGCCTGTCTTTGTAYAAAAAGTACATCTCTTGTTTTGAGATCCTTATATTTACCAAAAATGCCCACTTGAGGGAGCTATGATCCAACAGGTCTCCTCCCCTCATTTTGCAGAATCTTTCCTCATTTGCCATCAATTTATTTTCATTCAAACGAAGGGTGACCATGTGAAGAACATCAGATCAGTTGACAGCCTGTAAATGTGATTTAAGCATTTAGGCACCATTTACCCAGATTAAGTTTCAATTGAAGAACAATTGCTATTAGGTTAAAATCGTGCCGTATGTGGTAAGGGATGGAGGTAAAAACTATGGCTTCATGCTGTTGGAATTCTGTTGCACGTTAAAAAAACATATTWTATAAAATGAATGTGCTTAATCTAATTTATACATTGTATACGWTTCACTGTTTTAACGTATTTATTGTGCATGCATAATGCTTTTGCTGTGATAGACCCTGGATGAACCTAAGCTATCTGTTTATTACAATTCACCTGCAGTCCACACACACACACACACACACACACACACACACACACACACACACAC